TACGAGATACAATTCTTCTATATATGTTTCTTGATAAAATAATATAATATGATACATTATATTATATATAAATTGATATATATGATATGTAATAAATAAACAAAATATATATAACGACATAACCACATTCACACGAACAGCACACAATACATCCGCGATTCTCCAGTGTTATGCTCCCTTTCGCTTTGCAGAGAGCGAAAGTAAGCGTGACCCCTGGATTATCGAGGATGTACACAATACATCTCCAGCACACACACAGGCATACACACATTGGGAGATATTAGCCAGGTGGCATAGGACTAGTAGTTAGCGCCTGATAAGGCAGCTCTTGTGAATTCCTCAATATTGTATTGATTAACATATATGCTAATTGTATTGACTGTATACAATTGTATATCTATGTACTGTAAAACGCTTGAGAATGGCTTATGTTAGCTTAGATAGGGCCCTATATCAAATGTTGTATATTTAATGCAACTACGGCGCCCTCCATCTTCGTTGGGGATAGCAACGTATGACAGCTAAGGTGTTCCCCATCCTAATTTCAATCTCAATAGCCACATAAGGCAACCTCATTGTTCTCCGACATCACGAGAAAAATATATATAGTAACATAAGGTAGTATACCATATCGGAATTAATTATGTTAATAGTATTTTAGATGCATTTTTAGATGGACAAGACCAAAAGAGTGGCGGTACGCTAATTTTTCTACATTGCCTCCCTGCAATATTATTGCTACACAATGTTCTCATACAGTTAATATATAAGCACGCCATAAGTAATGTGCATCAAAGGGTGCTTGCAAAACGTGTTAGAATGGCGCGCGTGATATTTAAAATTCACGGAGATGACAGACGAGGTTCGGGGTTTTATAATTGACTTCGGTGCTACTATTCGCCTCATCTGTTATTCTTTTCCAGTGACGACTGCCTAAAAGCTGTTCTCTTCAATTCTCATTTCTACTTCATTTCTCTTCTTGTATACATATCAACATTAATGATATAGCGTTAAATAAGACAAAGTTGAGGTACAATCGGATCACTTCGCCTTTTCCGTCGCCCAGGTTCTATGATATGTCTTCTCTTGCGCAGGTCCAGAGTTACGTTTAAGTATTATTTTAAGGGTTGCCGTCGGAGCATGTAAACATATTCCATCACTAATGTTTTTTTCTGACCCCTGTGCTACGATGGGCACTCTATATTAACCTTATTGGAATACTAACTAAATTTGTTTTTAAATATTTATTTACAACGTAACACTTTCAAAACAAGGTCGGGGAAATTGATACCGTACTGTTCCACGAGTATTCCATATCTGACTGATAGCAAGAATCACCTGGTCATCCTCACTCGGTGACTTGTATTAAGATTGATGTCGGTATAGATACTGAGGTTAGATTCCCCGTACCACTGCCAAACACCGTAACTATGGATTGGAAACTGTTCCGCACAGCTTTAGCTTTGATAAATCATCTTTAAACAGAAAATTATACCATGTGCGACTTTTATGAAAAACAATAAAGATGAGATAAAGGAAAAATAATCAACAACAGTGTTCTGAAAGTTTAAATTTCAGCGGGTCTAGACCAGTGCCGTTTTCGTTTATTAGTAAACGGTCGAACCAGTTGGACCACAGTTGTTCGTTTATTAAATAAGGTCAGACCTAATAATCTGATGCTGCTTTCATGTGAGCCTTGACCAATCCTTGTAAGGCCTGCATAAACATTTGCAGGTCCGTCAGGATTTATACCCAAAAATGTTACATATAAAAGCGGACGTACCGGTTATTCCGCATAAACGAGCAGGCCCCAGGAACCCTGGACATGAGGTTTTACATAAGCTATAAGCTTGTTACCAAATCCTCTTAAATATCTTTTCATTTATATTTATATTGTACCACGTTATGTCTTATTGAATATTGTTTTAAAAATAAAGTGAATTAAGAGGGGGTCATTAATGTATAGGGAAATCCCGGTGGAACTCTCTAGTGTTTTGCCTGCAGAGGGGCAGGGGTCCTTAATATTGATGTCTGTTCAGATACTGAGCTACGTAAGCTTCTCGGCGTAATACTCACGACTGAACTTGAGAAATTGACTTTCAGATAAAAACGCAGATATTTCAACAGCTTGTGATAAAGAGGCTGTCACGTACCTTGTCTGACAAATATATCGAGGCACCAATCTCACTCAAGAAATTCGAGATATCTTGTTGAAAAAATACTGTTCTGTGCACGGATTCACGAACTCCCATCTTCAGTGTTATACAATATGTATACTTTTAAAACTCACGTATCGTGGGTATTTTTGTGTATTTTTTCCTGAATGTCGGATTTAAAACGTTTTTAACTACGCACTAGACGAGACGACCAAAGCGTTAAATGGTTTAATGGGCGGGTTTTTTTTGGTCATTTTCGATATTCTTCCTCATAAGTGATTGCAAGAAATCCCATTTGTAAATTGGAACTACCATTCTATAATCAATGTTAGCTGTACATTTTTTCCTCACGTCTATCAAAGAGAGCCTCTTTGTTGTTTTGGATTAGTTTAAACAGTACCTAATTCATTAGCCAAGAATATTTTATGTACATAATAATTCAGTGGAATGAGAAAAAGAAACTTAGAGCAAATTCCTACCCCTAAATATTTTTTCTTTTGTTCATGGTTTTTAAGTCCGTGCGATGGCTAAGGTACTATAAAAACGTACGCCCAGGGAGACACCGCCAACAAAATAAATAGAAACGAGTGAAGTCCGAATTGTTGCATTGTGGGTAGCACGTTAATTTTGGTTCCTTTAATTTACTACGAGCAGAAGACGGAACTAAAAAAGTGTTCTGCAGGGTCTTCGACATTAAAGCTTCATTCGCACGTGCAGTGGGATACATGTACAGTACTACTCCTTCTCGTAGTTGCACGGGTGCATAGATAATAGTTTGGTTAGACTTAGAACCGGTCACACGAAGACGAAAATATGACGTATATTATATTTTGAATGAAAAGTTCAAAAGAGGTTAATAACTTCATATGCTAGTGCAGGGGCGTTTCTAGGATATTTGGGGGAAAAAATGGACCTTTTTTTGCTAAAAAAACTACGGATCACCCATCGGATAGGGGAATCAGTATAAAAAGAAATCAGGGTATGTGTTTAATCAATGAATATGATAAGTTGCCATATTCAATACAATATTAGCAGATTACGATAGGCTTTTTTTTTTTGTTGAAAAGATTACGCCCTCACCTGGACCCGCCCCTGTGCTAGTGAACGCTGAACAACGACCTACCATGTATATAAGAGAAGACCAAAATAGACTAAAACGGCAGAAATAAATAAAATTGAAATAACGTCAACAATGTTTATTTAACTTCACTAGTTTTATATTAGATTAACCAATATAGGATTGCCAACGGGACCAATGCCCTATAGATGTCGCTTTCTCTGACGTCAGACCATGTTTGTATTTCAAACCGAATAAAATTGATTTTAATCCTTTATTTTATGATAAACTCTTCAATAAACCCGTCTGTGTTTACTTTGCGTGACATGTGGACGAACTCAGCCATTGAGGCGCTGGGTGAAACTTCTCACCCCTTTCGCCGAAGTCACATGCAAGTGAGATCGGGTGCTGATAACAGCCGCATTCCTGACCCGTTTGATGAAAGTTTGGTTAGTTTAAAATGGGAATCACATGAAAGGTTTATCTTCGTCATTTTCAAAGATTTTTTTTTAAAACATGTATATTTATGGGATAAAAATGGTTAAATTTAGAACATGTTTTGAAATATTTAAGATATCTCAAACTATTCATTATTTTAATTGATGACTCGAAATTAATAAAGCTTTGAGGAACCTAGTCAACACATTGTTAGCTTTATAATATATTACCATATCATAATACACTACGCAACGTCACAGGGAAAAAACTGGTGGTCAAATCAACGGAAAAGTATTTTTATTTACAGTACTTCATACGATTTATTAACAAACAAAAAATAAAAAATGTTGACAGTATTTATTTCGTAGACGAGAAACTTAAGGTCAGGCGAGGTCAAAATCGCAAGTTCAAAGGCTTATAAATAGCCGACAAGTGAGATCCGCAGATATCGCGATAATCTCAATGTTTGGATTGTGGGACGCTAAGTTTATCTTTACGGTCATGTTCATGGTTAAGATTAGGAAAGTCTTTGGTGTTTGTTGCTGTATCGAACATCGTTGGTGAATATCCTATCATTCTTAAAGAGGTCTCATGGACAAACGTTTAATGCGGTAGCGCACCCCTGCCCACGAGCAAGTGCCAGGCGCTAAAATGTAGGTTTCTTGGACGGAAGGATATATATTTTAATACTGTAACCTTGACCATAGCTTCTGAACCGTGCAAAATTTGAAGTCATATTTGACATGTGCAAACGTTCTAACAAGAGCTTTCCAAATTTTTGGTACCGCGATCCCTTAATTGCAGAGTTATGACCCTTTGTTAAACTTTCGTGTCTTGGGTATAACTTTGTATCTATTAAAAATGAATACATGAATATTTATAAAAACTTTCATATCATGCTTGTGATGCTGTGCATAGTGCTTCTCAACTACATCTTGTTTACAACCAACGCATCTCAATCCCTGGCGTCCGAGAATTCTACCGACCCTAACATCACCCTCGCTTACTTGAAAATATGTGCTTTTGTTATGAGTTTTTATCCATTACAAGCAGACGTTTTCTATTATTTTAAAAAGAAATGTTTGTATTAAGGCATAGGTTAGATAGTAAAATGTAGATATCTTATTGATCAATTTAGGATGTTCTTCTGCGGATTCAACCGCCTGCACTCACAAACGTTACGTTTCTTTATGACGTCAAATAATAAACCATCCAATCTGGCCAATCAGAATGTCGCAAAGTGTGTATGCACGTGCCGCTTTCTTTTGCGGTAGTTGAAACATGGCGGAAAGACCCGAGTGAATTTGTAATCGGTGACCGCCGAGTCAGTAAATATAATACGCTCGTGCTGTGGCAATTAGGGCCACCTGTCTTCCCCACCGTGTAGCAGGCTAGGGATATACACTACCGGGTTTACATTATACAGTGTATATAAAGGCTGGGGTACACTACCTCACTGTTTACTATAGAGCACCTGCTCCGAGCTAATAGTTATCCGAACGGAGGCTTTTGGAACAAGATTTTTGCATTCAATCTGTTAACTGTTTAGTATGTAATAATTATATATATGGTGTAACATTAATCTTTAAACATGTGTGTTTTTCTGTGATCATGGATGAGTTACAATAATGTGTTTTTAAGTGAACTTTTTAACTTAAGACGTTTTCGGAGTTCCATTGGGATCCAATATGAAAGGAAACACGGTGAATATTCTGGTACTGGGAAAAGAAGGCGTAGGAAAAACAGGTAAGTGAATAACCTCAATACTTTATCAAACTTAATTATGATACAATGATAAGTAATTGCAACGCAATCTGGGGCTCGTGATTCCGGCTCAAATTAAAACTTTTTTTCCGGATTAACAATCAGAACAAAAAAGGAAATCGATTAAGTAGCGTTACAGGCCGGAAGGTTAATTGGTTGTCCAGTTGATCGAATTCCATGTAAGCAAGGTCGGGTTTATTGGTCTGGTCACAATCCCATAGTATAACGAAGTTGAGATCACTAACCTGCCGGATCCGGATTAGCAAAGTTGGGATTATTTGTCCTGCTGGAGACCTGATTAGCGAGGTTTGGTCAGTTTTAGCGGACTAAATCAGTATCAGCGAGGTTTCGATTATCTGGCATGTCAGAATTCGGATTAGTGAGGTTGGAATTAACTGGCCTGTCGGAATCCGGATAAGTGTGATAGAGAGTTATATGTCCTAGCTCGGATTACCGATGCTGTGAATTATCTGTCCTGTCTGGAGTTCAAAATTACGAAGTCGTAAGAATCCGGAATAGTGAGGTCGAGAGTTATTTGTGTTCTAGCAAGTTTTCTTACCTATCTAGCTGTGTACGGATAAACGAGTATCACTTTATACAGGGTACTACGTTTGAACTTCGAATAATGAAGACTATTGGCAAAATAATGCAATAATGATAAAAAAAAACCACCATGACTACCATCCATGTGTCTTTGCCCTTGATCCAGAGACAGGAAACGAAAATAGATAAATTACTAAAAAATTGTAATTAAGAAATGAGGAACAATGTCTACTGTATCGCAGCATGTGTTTATGCTTTCCTTGATATCAGCAGAACTGTGAAAAGATGGTGTTTTTTTTATATACATCTGTAAATATATCACGTTTTGTTATTTGTATTATTGCTGCAACAATTTTTTGATGAGAGGATTTCAATTCTGCTGTTAAAGCGGTGCTCGAACCGATCTGGCCGTATCTGGAAAACAACAAAATATGCTGAAATCAAAGAAGGGTAATAAAACACGCTTTTTAGAATCTCATAAGGGAAACTTTCTGATGCTTTTAAACAATCTGGAAACTCTCATAAAATCATTTGACATTACAAAGTGTCAAAAATGATGGATAGTGTAGAGTTAAAAAGTAGACTTTTTTAAATAGAACGTTTTCTGTGCCAAATCTTTAAAATTTTACGTTTTGCTTTTATCTAAGTTCAGTTTGGCAAAGATGAATAACTCTCCATGTTAGTAAGTTTCAATTGAGTCTCCGAGGATTTAGTCAACTTATTTCAGCTTAGCGCTCTCTGAGATCTATTTCAGAATGAAATCCGACTTACATGTTACTTTCATCTTTTTCTATAATAAACCTTCAATTTAAAGTAAGCATGTCATATATACCTATCAGGTTTAGACGCTTATTGAGAAATAGCTGTAAATCCTTAAAAACACGGAATAAAAACGGAAATGAGATTTAATAACAATCTATAACAGATCAGTAACGCTGTTGATCCTTCTCCCATAAAACAAAACGCATGCAATAAACCGATGTTTACACTGTAAATTAAATCTCTTTCTTCCTAAAATCGAATGTTGTTCATTTCATGTAGTTTTTCTGCACAACCCATGCAGTGATTTGTAGAAGTTTGCTGGTTATTAATGAAGTGTAATCCTTAACAGACCCCTTTTTATATGACTTTTATAACTCTGTCCGGTCATGTTTAGGTAGTTAAGTGAAGTCCGTATTCATTTTAATAAAAAAAAATGTCTCATAATGTTACCAGTAAAGCTTATTACATGTTGAGGATTGAGGTAAACGATTATCTGCTGTTGCCCACCGCGTGTTGTAGGTGACATATAATGTGGGAACCTGCATAATATGGAATTTGCTATTGTGTCCTCTATTTGGTAGGTTGGTACATTTAGGACACGCATAATATTATATTCTACCTTAATTATCTCGAGCGCCCGGCTTATTTTCTAGAGCGCTCGACATTACTTCGAGATAATTAAGGTAGAAAATAATATTATACATGTCCTAAATGTACCACCGTAACTTGGGGACATAAAAGCGACCAAAATAAATTTCTTGCACCCATTTTCAACATTTGGTATCTTTATATTTCCTCCATGCTTCCAAACAACCTTTTGTATCCTATATAGCGCCTTGCTTGGCAGTACCTCACTTTGAACTTAGTGCTTACCGTTCGCTCAAGTGGTGAAGGCCAAGTGGGTTCTGTTACTGGGCCGGGACATATCAAAGTCCTTGAAATGATAGTTGTTATTCCCTGCTTAACGTTCAGCATTTAGAGTAATCACATCAACTGTTTAACTTATTGTCAGTATAACGTGACCGGCAGGAATCCTTCGGTATCTTATTTCAGTGAGGTAGCACAAGAAAGTTAGCATCAGATCGGCGCTATCGAAAGAATACACATACACCAACATATCAACACACACACACACACACACACACACACAGACACACGCGCGCATACATAACACACATGGAAACAGGTCCCGCAATGACCTTAGCTGTTGATAGGACAGATATTGTCTGTATATAAAATAGATCGACCGAAATATATATCATTCATGCCACGAAAAGATGCTGACGTAATAGCGTCAATGGATTAATTAATACAACAAGTGTAAATATATATACATAACTACCGTACTTGTCTGTGATAAGCTAGTCTCCATCAAATGTAGAATTGAGTTGATAGTACATGCGAACTTCGTTATCTCGAACGACCGAGATTTCCCGCTCACGTTTCCTTCTTTATCTTTATACCAGGTGGGCATAAATACTAAAAAAATATCGAATATCGAGATATATTGGCGAATTGGTGCTCTAACCAAGTTAACGTAAAGTATCTGAAATATCCACACGTGCTTGCTGGACACACACAATTTGTGAAGTTTACTTGTTTTAATATTACCGTAAATAAACGTTTCCTATCCTGTGCCTTACCGGCTCTTTATGTTATATCAGATTTGGAAACAAGCTTCACTTAGCCTAAATACTAAGTAAATTATAGCCAGCCATGATTATATATTCATGTTTACTTTGGGATATCTGAGTACTTTTATATGATATTAACATTTTCAGGACCAAGTATTACCTCGAAATAACCGAGTTTTACCGTGTCCCTTCCTCATAACTTTTACTAAGTCGTTTCTTACTAATACAAAGATGTAGGAGACACGGAACCAGGTCTTAACTATGCCTTCGAGATATCCAGGGTACATTGTTTTTTTCCAAAATCGCGTTCACGAAATTGGACGTTATATATTTTGGTGATAACGTAATAGAACAATGATGTTCTAGATCACACGATTCAATTATCCTGAATATGATATAAAAACAGATTTCGGAATGTATTTGTCTGGAAAAAAACAAAATTATTACCGATACGTGAAAAACAAGGCTATCGTGAGAACTTACATATAGAACAGCGCACACAACAGAACGATTAAATCTGTAAAAGGTCAAACCCTACTCATGTGGTAAAAACATATCCAGAAACAAGAATTTTTATTTAACGTCGCATATTTAAAACAATAAACATTAGCACTGCAATGCTTATTGTATGCCGGACATCGGGACCTGGCAATCGGCATAAAGACGTTTCTTTACCATGTCCCGGAATATCAGACATATCCCGGAATATCAGACATGTCCTGGAGGTATCAGACGTGTCCTGGTGATATCAGACATGTCCTGGTGGTATCAGACATGTCCTGGTGGTATCAGACATGTCCCGGAGTATCAGACGTGTCCTGGAGTATCAGACGTGTCCTGAGGTATCAGACGTGTCCTGGGGGTATCAGACACGTCCCGGAGTATAAGACGTGTCCTGAGGTATCAGACGTGTCCCGAGGTATCAGACGTGTCCTGAGGTATCAGACGTGTCCCGAGGTATCAGATGTGTCCTCAGGTATCAGACGTGTCCCGAGGTATCAGACGTGTCCCGAGGTATCCGACGTGTCCTGGGGGAATAGACGTGTTGTGGAGGTATCAGACGTGTCATGGAGGTGTCAGACCTGTCCTGGGGTATCAGACGGGTCCTGAGGTATCAGACGAGTCCTGGAGTATCCGACGTGTCCTGAGGTATTAGACGTGTCCTAGGGTATCAGACGTGTCCTAAGGTATCAGACGTGTCCCGATGTATCAGACGTGTCCCGACGTATCAGACGTGTCCTGCGGTATCAGCCGTGTCCTGGGGTACCAGACGTGTCCTGGGGTCTCAGACGTGTCCTGAGGCATCAGACGTGTCCTTTGGGATCAGACGAGTCCTGGAGTATCCGACGTGTCCTGAGGTATTAGACGTGTCCTAGGGTATCAGACGTGTCCCGAGTTATCAGACGTGTCCTGGTGGTATCAGACACGTCCCGGGGTATCGGACGTGTCCGGGGGTATCAGACGTGTCCGGGGCTACCAGACGTGTCCTGGGGTCTCAGACGTGTCCCGGGGGATCAGACGTGTCGTGGGGGTATCAGACATGTCCTGGAGGTATTAGACGTGACCTGGGGTATCAGACGTGGCCTGGGGTATCAGACGGGTCCTGGGGGATCAGCCGTGTCCGGGGGTATCAGACGTGTCTTGGGGGATCATACGTGTCTTGGGAGATCAGAAATGTCCTGGGGTATCAGACATGTCCTGAGGTATCAGACGTGTCCTGGGGTATCAGACGTGTCCTGGGGTATCAGACGTGTCTTGGGGTATCATACGTGTCTTGGGGTATCAGACATGTCCTGGGGTATCAGACGTGACCTGGGGTATCAGACGTGTCCTGGAGGTATCAGACGACATGTCCTGGGGTATCAGACGTGTCCTGGAGGTGTCAGACCTGTCCTGGGGTATCAGACGTGTCCTGGGGTACCAGACGTGTCCTGGGGTATCAGACGTGTCCTGGGGTATCAGACGTGTTCTGGGGTATCGGACGTGTTCTGGGGTATCGGACGTGTCCCGAGGTATCAGACGTGTCCTGGGGTGTCAGACGTG